AGTTAGTGTGAGCTAGCTCACAATTTTTTAGCCTCCGGCTAACACATTTTTGTCTTAGCTCAAGAAGGATGGCTCCAGAGCAAACTGATTTCTGCAGTGGCCAAACCGCTCGCTCACAGCTTTAATGCCGGTAGCTCACAAAGTCGAATTTTTCCTCACAAGACTCCACAGCTTAGAGGGAGTGTTGCTACTACAACTGATCTCCAGCCAACAGGGATCAATTCACCTGGAGCGGAGCAAATGGCTGCTTTGGAAAGTTGGTTCTATGGCAATGCACCCCATTTAAGTCCCTCCCCAAACCCCACCCTCCACAGGCCCCACCCCCAAAATCTCCAGGTATTTCCCAACCCTAGAAACCTTCCAATATATCTAAGGGCACCTCTGGCCAATCAATCCTCATCCCAGACTCTAACCAGAGGTCATTTCGGGGGGATCGCGGGGGATCGCAGTTCCCCCGGGTGAGATACGGGGGCGGGGCACATGACGAAGCCTCGCCCCCTGCTTCCCCCCCCCCCCGCCTGGCTGGGGCCCGGGAGGGCCTTCGCGGGGCTTCCTTGCACTCCCGCCGGCCTTGCAGGTCCACCACCAAGCCCCTCATGGGGCTCGGCAGTGGAGCTGCAAGGCCGCTGGCGGCGGCCGGGACCGTTGGGGGCAGGGTGTGTGGCCTTATGACACACTTCCGGTGATGTCAGGGTGTGTGGCCTTATGACACACTTCCGGTGGTGTCAGGGGGTGTGGCATATGCTAATGAGTTATGCTAATGAGTTCCCCTAGCTCTTTTTCTACGAAACGACCCCTGACTCTAACCACTATGCACACTTGGGTGGCTTATGGTGTGACACGTGCCCATTAGAGGGAAAGGGTAGGGGTTCAAGGGCATAGGACAAAATAGGATGAAAGTAAAAGGAAAATACACGTGAGACAGGGAGGGTAGATGAATCTTGGTAGTTTACCATCAGGGCGTTTCCCCCCAAGCATGTTGATTTACAGGGCCGGTTGCCTGGCCAAGCCGCTCAACCAGCTGCTTTAGGCAGCCCTTAGGAGAGCACTGATACTCGCCAGGGGCGTGGCATACTCCTGGCCATCAATGAGGTGGGAGGGAACGGGCATGGTCTCCTGGACCTACTCAGGTGGCATCTGGGTCCATGCTGAGCCACAGGGGCTGAGGTCATAGAATCACAGAAACACAGAGCTGGAAGAGACCTCCAGGGTCATCTAGTCCAACTCCCCAGTGACCCCTGTTCCATGCCCAGAAGAGGGCAACCCGCCCCCCAGGATCCCCAGCCAAACTAGCCCAGAGAAAACTGGCTTCCTGACCCCAAAGTGGCGATCAGCATTTCCCTGGGTGTATAAGAAAGGGCCACAAGAACGAAGCACTGAGGCAACCCTTCCTGCCCTCCCTTCTCATGATCTGTCTCAGTTCACAGAATCCGCATTGTTGTCAGGTGGCCATCTAGCCTCTGGTTGAAAACCTCCAAAGAAGGAGAGCCAGGGCTATTTTTGGACAGGAACGCACGGGAACGGAGTTCCAGCTAGCTCCCGTGTTGGCCACGCCCAGCAGGAACTCATTAGCATAATAGGCCACGCCCAACAGCAGAAACTCGTTAGGATTGGCTACGTTAGGGGTGTGTGGCCTAACATGCAAAGGAGTTCCTGCTACAAAAAAAGCCCTGGGTTTGGACAACAAAGAAGGTAAACAGAATAAGAAACAAAAGGTGGGTGTGGCTGGATGACCACACATCTGGTAACATGGGGGTGTGGCCTAATATACTAATGAGTTCTCACCACCTGCCGAGGAAGGCTGTTTTGCTGAGGCACCGCTCTGTCAGGACGTTCTTCCTAACGTTTAGCCGAAAACTCTTCTGATTTAATTTCAACCCGTTGGTTCTGGTCCGACCTTCTGGGGCAACAGAAAACAACTCCACACCATCCTCTATATGACAGCCCTTCAAGTACTTGAAGATGGTGATCATATCAGGTCCAGACAGCAGCCTTTTGGGAGCAGGCAATGGATGTACCTTTCTTGGGGCAACCAAATACCTTGGGCCGTCCCAGCTGATTCAAGTATCAACGGCTACTAGCCCTGGTGACTGAGGGAACCTCCACTTTCAGAGGCGCTAATCCTCTGAGGCCCAGAGCCAGGAGGCAACATCAGGAGAAGGCTTCGGCCTCTCTGCCCTGTTGGTGGCCCTCCAGAGGAACTGGTTGGCCACTTTTTGAGACAGGATTGGATGGACCATTGGTCTGATCCAGCAGGGCTCTCTTTATGTTCTTAATGCAATAAACAGTAAACATCAGCTTACTGGGTCTGACACCTACCTGAAAGAAGAGACTGTCTCCACACTGTCTCCAGAGAGCTTCTGACCTGAGCTTGTTCTGGCAGTATTTTTCATATATTTGGAGATCTTCCTTCTGCAAGAGAGAGGGAGGAGGACCATAAACAACGTAAGACAAAGCAACCAACTCAGTGCCTTCTTCTTTCCCAGATAAATGAAATTGAATGGACAGGTAGTTCATTCAGATCAGAGGTCATTTCAGGGGGGATCGCGGGGGAGCGCAGTTCCCCCGGGTGAGGTACGGGGGGCGGGGCACATGACGAAGCCCCGCCCCCTGCTTCTGGCCGCCCCGCTTCCGGCCCTCATTGAGCCAGGAGGAGGCAGGAGAAGAGGGAGGGTAAGTTGCTTCCTCCCTGCCTCTCCCCACCCCTGCCTGCCTGGGGCCAGGGAGGGCCTTTGCGGGGCTTCCTTGCACTCCCGCCGGCCTTGCAAGTCCACCGCTGGGCCCCTCATGGGGCTCGGCAGTGGAGCTGCAAGGCCGGCGGCGGCCGGGACCGTTGGGGGCGGGGTGTGTGGCCTTATGACACACTTCCGGTGATGTGAGGGGGTGTGGCCTTATGACACACTTCCGGTGATGTCAGGGGGTGTGGCATATGCTAATGAGTTATGCTAATGAGTTCCCCTAGCTCTTTTTCTTCGAAACAACCCCTGATTCAGATGTAACACTACTTCCCTGAAGGCCAGCTCTGTGTTCAGAAATACCTGGAGATTTCATGGGAATGGAGCCTGAGGAGGGTGGAGTTTGGGGAGAGGAGGGACTTCAATGGGGTAGAACGCCATAGAGTCCACCTTCCAAAGCGGCCATTTTCTCCAGGTGAACTGATCTCTTTTCCTTGAAGATCAGTTATAATCTGCTGCTCCCTCTAAGCTGTGGAGTCTTGTGAGCAAAAATTCTACTTTGTGAGCTACTGGCATTATAGTTGTCAGCAGGGCTATTTTTGGGCAGGAACGCACAGGAACGGAGTTCTGGCTGGCTTCAGAGTTGGCCACGTCCACTACAGCCAAAACCTCTGCGTGTGTGGCTACAGAAGGAAGGCCTGGAGAACGACACCCCCCTAGTGACTCTGAGGTGGGCGGGCCAGGGGCCCCCCTGGAAGGATCGGGGAGACATTTAAATGCCTCCCCGTGCCTTCCCTGGCCTGTCCAAGGGCCAGCTTTAAACCGCCTTCCCTTCCCTTCCCTTCAAGGGTGGGTTTTTTTTTTGCCTGGGCTCCCCACAGCCATGGGGCATCCAGGCAAGCCAAGGGAAGGCATGGGGTGTGGCCTAATATGCTAATGAGTTTCTGCTGTTGGGTGTGGCCTATTACACTAATGAGTTCCTGCTGGGCTTTTTCTACAAAAAAAGCCCTGGTCGTGAGCGAGGGGTTTGGCTACTGCATAAATTAGTTTGCTCTGGAGCCAGCCTTCCTGAGCTAAGACAAAAATGTGTGAGCTGGAGGCTAAAAAACTGTGAGCTAGCTCAGACTAACTCATCTTAGAGGGGATGCTGAAATTCCCAGTAGGTCTCCAGCCACCGCCTGGAAGTTGGCAACCATTTTGATAAACAAGTGGTGCCCGGGATTCTTTCTGTGTAGTGTCCCCAACTACCGGAGCAAATCTCCCCCCAATTGGCTACAACTGTGCAGTCCAAACTGAACTGCAGTGAATGCTAACTGGATAGAAACCACCAGCCCCAACTCAAAGTCTGAACTCCGTTTCAAATCCAAGCTTAAGCGCTAATGTCTGTGCCAACAAACCGCACAACCATGGTTTAAGAGAGGAGGGGAGATAGGGATGCCAGCCTCCAGGTGGGTCCTAGAGAACCCTTGGAATAGGGATGCCTGCCTCCAGGTGAGGCCTGGGGATCCCCCTGGAATTTCAACTCACCTCCAGACTACAGAGATTGGTTCCCCTGGAGAATATGGATGCTTTGGAGGCTGGACTCTATGGCATTGTACCCCACTCAGGTCCCTAGCCTCCCCGGCTCCACACGCAAAACTCCAGGAGTTTCCCAAACTGGCAACCCTACCTTACCATCCCCAACCCGGGGTGGGAACCTCGCAACCCTAGCAGGTATAATGCTGTAGAGCCCACCCTCCAAAATTGACGTTTTCTCCAGGGGAACTGATGTCTGTGGACTGGAGATCAGTTGTAATTCTGGGGGATCTCCAGGCCCCACCTGGAGGTTGACAACTTTCTCACCGGTTCTTCTAACGTAGTATTGGTTGATCTGACTGGCAGAAGCTATCCAAAGCTTCAAGCAGTGAAAGGTCTTTCCCAGGATCTTGTAGCAGCAGGGCTTTTTTTGTAGAAAAAGCCCAGCAGGAACTCATTAGCATAATAGGACACACCCAACAGCAGAAACTCATTAGCATATTAGGCCACACCCCTGACAACACAGCTCATTGGCATATTAGGCCACACACCCCATGTTACCAGAAGTGTGGTCATCCAGCCACACCCACCTTTTGCTTCTTATTCTGTTTACTTTGTTGTCAAACCCAGGGCTTTTTTTGTAGCAGGAACTCCTTTGCATGTTAGGCCACACACCCCTAATGTAGCCAATCCTAATGAGTTTCTGCTGGTAGGTTTGGCCTATTATGCTAATGAGTTCCGTGCTGGGCGTGGCCAACTCAGAAACCAGCCAGAACCCCGTTCCTGTGCGTTCCTGCCCCAAAATAGCCCTGTGTAGCAGGATCTTACAGCAGAAAACACTCTGGACGGAAGGTGAAACGTTTTGTATACAAAGCAAGTGTATACAAAAATTCTAATTTGTGAGCTACCGGCATTAAAGTTGAGAGCGAGCGATTTGGCTGCTGCCTAAATTAGTTTGCTCTGGAGCCCTCCTTCCTGAGCTAAGGCAAAGATGTGTGAGCCGGAGGCTAAAAAACTGTGAGTTAGCTCACACTAACTCAGCTTAGAGGGACCACTGGTCACAGCCCCACTGCTCCACTGGATTCTCAGGACTCCCAAGGCTTGCCAGTTCCAGCGTTGGGAATCCTTAGAGATTTGGGCGTGGCACCTGGGGAAGGTGGGGTTGGGAGAAGGGAGGGGCCTTAGCA